CACTGAGCCACACGCCCTGTCCCTTACAAGCACACATTTTCATGAATATCTTCATAGTTTTCACCAAATTTACTCCAACAGGTAAATAAATGTGTGTAACTGTCAGAGTTTTGACAGAAGATTTGTTATAAATCTTCCATTGTTGCTCAGAATTTCATTGAGCAGGTCAGACTTGAACTCAATCTTGGAAAATGGAGTTCAGAGAGTAGCTGGGTGGGAGGCAGGCCTTAAGGGAAGTCCCAAGAGGAATTGTGGGAAGATCATTGTATTTAGAACTGATGGACTTTCTTCTCTCAAATTTAGACAGGAAAAATTCTGTGAGACAGTGGCAATCTCTACTTCCCAGTGTTCTGTAAAAGACCATGAGCTCACAGGGCACTGGTGGTTCATGCCTATAATCCTAGCTACTTAGGAGGCTGAGCTCTGAGGATCATGGTTCAAGACTAGCCCAGGCAGGAAACTCCGTGAGACTCTTATCTCCAATTAACCACCAGAAAACTGGAAGTGGCATTGTGGCTCAAGTGGTAGAGCACTTACCTTGAACTAAAGAGCTCAGGGACAGTGCCCAGGCCCAGAGTTCAAAACCTATGACCAACAACAACAACAACAAAAAGACCATGAGCTACTTCCTGTCTCTGCCCTCACCTCTACCCCCACCTAGCACATTGCATTTCCTCTCCCTTTCTCTCTCTCTCTCTCACACACACACACACACACACACACACACACACACAGTTTCTCCATACCTTAGTACAATGCTTGGTGCTTGACTTGTATCAAAGTGGACACTGATCAGTATTTGTTGAATGTGTAAGTTAACTGAAATACTAAGCGTGAGAGGAGTTTGTAAGTAGCAGAGTATTTATTGCTTCCAGAAAAATCTTTGTGTCCTGTGCTTTGCCAACAGCCTGTATTGGATGAGCACCTTCTGCCTCCTGAGACAAGCCTTCCTTGTTGAGGAGCACACGGGGCCCCTATCTGAGGGAGTGTCTCTGGGTTGACCAGATGTATGATAGCTGTGGCGTCATCGCTGACAAGATGTGCTGGTTCCTAAGTGCCAGAAGTGACCTTGCCTTCCAAAGGCTTGGCCTCTTCACCTGGCGCCTGCCAATCCACACGCACATACAGCCTTGTTCCAACTCCATGACGGGCAGGCTCCTGTAGTCCAGTGCATTAGTCAAGAGATTGCCATGGGCAGGGGCATAGGCAGCAGGCTAGGACTCCTGAGTGGGACCCCTGCAGCTTCTCAGGACAGTAGAGATGATCACGTGACCCTTTGCCGAGGTGCCCAGCTTCTGAAATGGGATGCCATGATGCTGCCAGGGACTTGGCTGGGTAAGAGTAGGAAAGTTTTTTTAAGGCATTATTGAAAGTGACAGGAGTTCAAAAGTACATCAGGAAAGAGACAGTTTCTGTGCGGAACAGCTTTCCACAGCAGGTACTGCCAAGCGGGATAGTGCACGAACTGACAAATGAGCCTCAAGCCAAGGAAGAGGAGCCATGGTCCAGATCTGTCACTTACACACTTTGAACATGTCACTTAATTGTTCTGAGTTTCTAGTTCCTCCTCTGCGCATTGAAGCTGTACCTTAATTGTCAAATTTATAGTGCTGCCTCAAGTAGGAGAAAGCATACGTACTTATTGTTTTATGGTACTAGGGATCAAACCCCGGACTCACATTTGATAGATAAGAACTCTATCACCAAACCACACCCCAGCCTACCATACTGTTACATTATACTTGAGCATTCCCGTTATGACCAGAACACTAAACCAGTGCAGTCACAGTTGCATTGTTTTTTCAGTTTTCAGAAATCAGACACTCAGGCTTAGAGTTATGCAGCTAATATGAGGTAACCTTTATATAATAAACCAGCTCTAGGGCCATTCTCCACTATTACTCTAATTCCAGTTCTTTTCTGCTATGTACCATGGTTTTGTCTCTTAAAATATTCCACAGTAGCTGGATGTGGTGGCGCACACCTACAATCCCATTCCCTGGGAGGTGAACGTAGGAGGAGAGTTTCAGGCCAGCCTGGTCTCAAAAATCAAAACAGAGTGGGGCTCCCCTGGCCTTTGACCATCTGTCATGGACTGGCCTTTCTCACCCAAACTCTTCTTACCACTTTCTCCTGATGTTTTTGCTTTTGTCCTGCCGATCCTCCTCTTGTTTCTTGTTCCTCCTGTCCTGCTAGCTTCCCCGGGCCTGACCTCCAGGCCCAGCATGCAGCAAGACTGACCGAGCTCCTTTTAGAGGCAGGTACTCTGCATGGAGGATGTGAGAGTGTTCACTCACTCCGCAGGCGCCCAGACTCTCACCCTCCTAGGATTGTATGGAAACGGCCTGGATTGTGTGTACAGAGAGGAGGGAAGAAAGAGATAGACGGACTTGTCTAACATCACTTAGTGAATAGGCACTAAACCAAAAGCTTAGTTCCTGTCCTCGATCTGGATGTCTTTGGGGGCACTGAGCTCCTGGGAGTCATTGCTAATGTGGACTGTGTTGTCTCTGGCTTAGTGCAAGCCCTGGAGGGTCCCTGACTGACACTCAGCAGCCCACCCCTACTTCCTAGCACCTAGAGCCCCAGACCTATATCGTGACCCTACCTGATAGGAGAGAAGAGGAGAGGAGGCAGGACAGATTCCCCTTTTAGAGGCCCACTAGACAAGCTGGTCCCAAAGGCGGCCCACTCCCAAGGTGGCCTCTTCTTGGGGCAGGGGGAGGGAGGCACGTTGGTACACGCTGGCCTAGCAGTGCCAGGAATTGACTCTACAATTAGGTAAAAAATAAATCAAAGCCAAAGTTGCCTGATGAAATTCAGGAGCCAACAGTGACCCTTGCCACACATATAAATCCCAGCAGGCTGGCCAAGGGCCTTTGTCTGGTCAGGAGAGTTCAGGATTATCTGGCCCACTTTGCTGATGGATGGAGGCACCAGCTCTCGGAGTGTTTACCAGCGGTTATCACCTCCGTGCTTGGGCCATTATCAGAGGCAAGGCCGCCTGCCGGGGGCTGGGGCTCGCACCCTCTCTATTACCACCTGTCATTGGCAGAGAGTGTGTGCTGACACTGCCCAGTCCTGCCCGCTGGGAGAAGATAGTTTCTGACGGCTGATCAAAGAGGAGAAGCAGGGCCTGATAAAGAGTGTGTGTTGCATGTACTTTTAACTTTGGGAAACATTGGCATTTGCATTTTTTCCTCATCTTCCTGGTGCTGGCAGGAACCAAGCCCAATAAATGTAGTGGATTCAGTTACCTAATCGCTGGGGACATGGTATGTGCTTAAAGCAACAGGGCATGACTATAATCTCCTTCCAAGAGAGAGGGGATAAAATAAGCTTTCACAGTAGACTTGCCATAGAATAAAGTCGAATCATTTTAAATGTGGACTTTGAAGTGATCTTGCATGTAAAATCTAATCTTGGCACTTAGCAGGACATGGTGTACTTTTTTGAATCAGGGAGCAGCTTTAGATTAAGGAAGAATCCTTACTGGAGATGCTATCACTCAGATGTATCGCTAGAGTTCCTGAAATTGTACCCCAGTCATGGTCATGTCTCTAGGAGGTTGGGAGACCAGGAACTATGGGACAGAACGAGTTCCCTCAGCTGAGTTCCTATACTACATCTGCTATTTATTCCTAAACCATAACGTGTCCCAACCTCAACTGTAAAAGAGATGATGTAAAAATTAAAAGACACAATGGTTTAGAAAAGCTTTGTGGTTTTGATTTTTAATTTAGACTCTGTATCCCCTTCTTTAAATTAAGCTTTAGGTGGAGCCCCATTGTAATAAAGAGGGAAGAGCAGAGATAGTAGGGTTGAACTTATTCCCTTGTCTTGTCCCATTCTTTTTTTGTCAGTTGTGGGGGCTTGGGGCTGGGACTCTGTCCTTGAGCTTTTTCAATCAAGGCTAGCACTGTACTGCTTTGAGCCACAGCTCTACTTCCGTTTTTCTGGTGATTAATTAGAAACAAGAGACACAGATGTTCCTGTCCTGGCTGGCTTTGAACCATGATCCTCCGTTCTCAGCCTCTTGAGTTAGCTAGAAGTTTAGATATAAGCCACCAGTACCCAGAGGGCTCTGTTCCATACTTGAAATGGTCCCTGGAGACTAGAGAAGCTCTGTCACTCCTGAGACTCTGGGTTTTTGTTGTTTTGTTTTGTTTGTCTTAGGCCAGTACCAGGGCTCGCGCTCACGGCCTGCCACTCTTCCTTGCCTTTTTCACTCACTGTTGGAATTCTGCCACTTGATCCATGTCTTCAGCCTGGCTCTTTTGCTGGTTAATTAGAAATAGAGCACCGGGTAACCAGGCTCACGCTTCTAATCCTACCTACTCAGGAGGCTGAGATGTGTGGATCACAGTTGGAAGCCAGCCCAAGCAGGAAAGTCTGTGAGACTCTTATCTCCAGTAAACTACTCAAAAAGCCATCAGTGGACCAATGGCTTAAGTGGTAGAGCACAGCCTTAAGCAAAAAAAAAAAAAAAAAAAAGCTCAGGGACAGTGCTCAGCCCCTGAGCTCAAGCCCTAGGACTGGCACAAAAAGAGAGAGAAAAAGAAAGAAAAGAAAAGAAAGTCTTTTGAAATGTTCTGCATGTGCACACTTTGAACCATCATCCTTACATCTCAGCCTCCTGAGTAGATAGGACATAAGCCACCAGCACCAGGCACTCCTGAGACTCAGGTTTGAAACTTTGTCTCTGTGACATGGAGATCATTCTCAGAGGTCTTCACACATATATTGGCCTGTGCTGTGTTATTCTGTGCTGTGCGTCCCGGCTGCACAGTATCCACTCTTCTTCCATCCTGTGTAAGGTCTATGGAGGCCCCAAACACTGTGGGTTTGAGGGTGGGTAAGGTGGGCAGAAAGGCCTGCCTCTGAAAGTCACATGTCCCTGTGTGCCACAGGTACCTTTGACCGGAGCGTGACGCTGCTGGAGGTGTGCGGGAGCTGGCCGGAGGGCTTCGGGCTGCGGCACATGTCCTCCCTGGAGCACACGGAGGAGGGCCTCCGGGAGCGGCTTGCAGACGCCATGGCAGAGTCCCCCAGCCGGGATGTCGTAGGATCTGGAACAGGTAAAGGTGTCATCAGACTTCTTGCCTGACTTGGTTGTGATTGGCACCCATGGATGGTAAGCTGCTTTGGCAAGGGAGAAGGCGTGTATTCATTTTTGCCGTCTGGTTCTGCAGTCAGTGCTCTAGGGACTGTCATTTGTAGAAGCCTCTGGTGTTCGGAAATCCTGTGTCAAGGGAGTTTCCGGTGTACCCTCCCCCTCCTTCATGGAACTACAGTGAGAAACACAGTGGTGCTGTAGAAGTTGCTCCAGATGGACACCTCCAAGGGAAAGGGAGGCTACAAATCTCCCAGCAGCACTTGGGCATCCAGGCCTAAGGCAGCGCATTCACAGTCATGCTCAAGGCTTTGTAGACTGGCAGGTGGCAGAGACCTGCCAGTCAGAAGGAGCGAGCAAGAAGCAAGCAGGGCTGGCTCCAGCCCCCAGGCAGTTCCTTCCTTATGCTTCCTCTCACTCTGTGTTCTTGCTACTAAGACAATCTAGCAGCTGATCCCCGTAGCTTCTTGTACCTTTAGGGTAGATGAGGAGAGATCTGGACCCTAGGCTAGCATGCACAGGTACATGCACACACACACACACACACACAGATACACACACACACACACACACACACACACTTCTTCCATCCAAGCAATATAATACAGGCTGCCTCTCCCTCTCTAATTCTACTGTTCGTGCTCTGCCCTGCCTTTGTACCTGCCTGACAGCCTCCTCCTGGCTTGCTGAGACTACTGGGGATTTTTGATTGAGTGGAGCAGATCCCTGCTAGATGCCTTCTCTCTCTTGCTTGCCTGAATCTATACTAGGCTGTGAGTTTTTTGCTTAATCATTCCACCCAGCTCCACATGCTACCTGGGAAGACGATCCCAGGAAGGAGAAATGAGAGCCCTTGGCATGGGGGTCTAACCAGCAAGATGAAGTCAGAGCAGTTTTGGCTCAGCCTGGCGTGCCTGAGTTATCACTCCATCTCACTGTCCCACAGGTCCTCCAGGTCTTTAGATATTGGGGTCCACAATTGGGCTTTCCCTCTCTTCTTCTCCTTCCCCAGGCCAGTCCCTCCCTAGGAGGAAGAGATGTCTCACGTCTACAGTACCAACATAGTGGCCAGCCCCTGATGCCCATGTAATCATCAGCAAGTGAACAGACTGGGGGAGGTGGTTGCAAAGGGAGAGGAGCTTGGCTAAAGAGAGAGAAGCTCTTGCTGGGCCCATGGAGAGACCTATCTCTAAGAACCCGCATCTACCTTCATCTTCTCTGGAAAGAATAAAGGTGTGGGGCCTCAGCAAGCTGCAGCGAGCCACGTCACATTCCCCACACACCAGGGGTAATGAAAGCAACAGACACACCATCATTGTCACACCCATTGTCAGCCCCATCGTCACACCTCGGACTTGGGGATACTCGATCATCAGGCCACTGCTCTCTCACTTGCATATAGAGAGGAGCACCTCTGCCCCTTCCTGGGCTGGAGTACAGCACGGGGGGCTTTTCTTATTCTGAACTTGCCTGTGGGCCAGCCTTCTCTTTTGTCCAGCCATAGCCTGGAGTCTCTGGGCTCGCCCCCACCCCCACCCCCAGGAACCTCCTCCTCCTCCTCCTGCTTTACCTCATCTGTAGTTGCCTTGTCAGATGACCTGGCATCATCCGGCAGGCAGATTGCAGGTGCACGTCGTCACAGGCAGCGAGCTTCAGTGTGGCAGACAGGAACCTGAGCAAAGCTGGCAGCAAGTCATCTGCCAGACAGCTGAGGGACTCGAGAGGCTTTGAGACCTTCAAGCAGGTTTGTAAAATTAAAAAAGAGAACAACAAAAAAAGAATGAAAGAGGAAATTAAAACGGCATGACCCACAGGTCAGACGATGGGAGACTCCCTTTTTCAGCAGAGGGTTTTCATTTTCTTCCTTAAACTGTCACCAAAAGAGATCTGGTTGTCTTTATTTGACCATATTAGTACACCTTTATTTAGATGTCTACTTCTAGTTGAAAACTAGTAAATAAAGCAGGTGGAAGTTAATCAGTTTTCTTCTCCATTGTGTGATTCTTCTTCTTCTTTTTAATACCAGTACTAGGCCTTGAACTCAGGGCCCTCATGCTGTCCCCTAACTTTTTCACTCGGGGCTAATACTCTACCACCTGAGCCACAGCTTCACTTCCAGCTGGTGGTTAATTGGTGATAAGAATCTCATGGACTTTTCTGCCTCGGCTGGCTTTGAACCAAGATCCTCAAGCCCCATCCTGCTGTACAGCTAGGATTGTAGATGTGAATCACCAGAGCCCGGCTTGTGATTCATTTGTCATATTTTTCAACTAGAGGTAAAGTATTAGCCAGTAGCACAGCACAGCACAACAGTGCCAAGGACATCCCTGTTCAAAGATAGCTGAGTACTACAGGGAAAACTTCCAGTAAGCCAATCTGCCGATAGCACTTCTGCCCGTCTCTTCCCACAGCCCTACTTCTCTTGGGAGCTCATAAGACAAACAGATGGGGTGGCACCAAATAATTGTCTCAGGTGGATACTCTGTCTTTTCTTTTTTTTTTTTTTTTTTGGTACTGGGGATCGAACCCAGGACGTTGCGCTTGCTAGGCAAGCGCTTTGCCACTGAGCTACATACCAGCCCCTCAGGTGGATACTCTGATGGTCCTGAGATAAGTCAGTTCCTAATGTCTTCCTGGCAGATGTGTCATGTGACAGAGCAGCCAGGGCTGGGGTTTCCCTATCAAAATATGGCTGACGCTCAGAGGCCCAGTCAGACCTTGCTCCCAGGATACTCTGTACAGCCTGGCTCACTACGAAGGAGTTGTAGATAGTGCTGCAACCAGCTCTCCAGAGAGAAGCAAGAAAGCCCTGGCTTGTGGATTTCAGTAGTGTAAAAACTCCTGTCATTGCCAATTTCAAGCTATCAACACAACAGACAGCTCCCCAAATTCCTAAAAACTGATAGTTGGCTGCCTCCAGCCCCTCACTGAACAAATAAGCTCTCCCCAGCAAAACCCATTTATACGAAGCAAGGGAGATCTTTGTCAAAAGATAGACAACGTTGATTAGAAGAGTACGTTTCAGATCTTTTGTACAAATTGGTGACTGTAATTAGTAACAATGTACTTGAAAATGGCTGAGCAAACACATTTAAGTGTTCTCCCTACCAAAAAAATAATAATAATAATAAGGTATGTAAAATATTGTGTACATTAACTCAATTTAGCCACTCTGCAATAAATGTTTCAGAACATGTTCTACACAATAAATATAGAGTATTTTTATTTGCTAACTGAAAATCGTTTTTTTTTTTAATAGTTTGCAGGCCAGTAATACCATCCAGGAACTGATTAGAAGTGTAAAGTTACAGACAAGAACTGGTGGCTCACGCCTGTAATCCTAGCTACTCAGGAGGCTGAGATCTGAGAATCGCAGTTCAAAGCCAGCTAGGCAAAAAAGTCTCTGAGACTCTTCTCTCCAGTAAACCACCAGAAAACCAGAAGTGAAACTGTGGGTTAAAGAGATAGAGCACTAGCCTAGAGCAAAAGAGCTCAGGGACAGTGCCCAGGCTCCAAGTTCAAACCCAACAACAGGAAGGAAAGAAGGAAGGAAGGAAAAGGAAAGGAAAGGAAAAGAAGGGGCTGGGAAGGTGGCTCAGTGGTAGAGCGCTTGCCTTGCATGCATGAGGCCCTGGGTTCGATTCCTCAGCACCACATAAGCAAAAAGAAAAAAGCAGGAAGTGGCGCTGTGGCTCAAGTGGTAGAGCACTAGCCTTGAGCTGAAGAGCTGAGGGACAGCGCCCAGGCCCAGAGTTCAGGCCGCACAACCCGATCCAAAAATAAATAAATAAATAAGAAAAAATTAAATTAGATTAAGCCAGGCGCTGGTGGCTCACGCCTGTAATCCTAGCTACTCAGGAGGCTGAGATCTGAGGATCGCGGTTCCAAGCCAGCCCGGGCAGGAGAGAGACCATGAGACTCCTATCTCCAATAAACCACCAGAAAACTGGAAGTGGTGCTGTAGCTCAAGTGGTAGAGCACTAGCCTTGAGCTGAAGAGCTGAGGGACAGCGCCCAGGCCCAGAGTTCAAGCCCCATGACCAACAAAAAAAAAAAAAGAAAGGAAAAGAAAAGAAAGAAGAAATGTAGAGTTGGTTGGAATTGTTGTTCAATGAATCCTGTGTTCCATCTCCAGCATAAAACAAAGTGGAAAAAGTACGGTCTTGGACCCCACCATCATCTTTCCACATCTGCATTTGATTTCTCTTTCTTCCAGTGCAGAGGATGGAACCCTTGCTAGGCAAACATGCTACCTCTGAGTTCTACCCCCAGCATCTACATTTTAATAAGACACCCCATGCATATTAAAGTTTAAGAAGATCTATTTTAAAACATGATTCACCTGTCACCAAGGTATTTATTAGTTCAGTCTTCTGTGGTGAGCACTAACCAATTGGTCTAATTAGTTTAAATCTGTGATTTGCAAGTCCAGCTCTAACATAACTGGCTGAATTGCTTTTTTCGCTAATGGTCCTGCCACGCCTCACCCCTCACTCTGCTTAGAGCTGGGTTGCTGAAGAAAATTCACCAACTGTTCTGATTGCCACATCTACAAATATGTGGTGGCCTTCAGCCGTGCTGGTTATTTCCTGGCAACCTCTCTTGCTCTTAGTTTGCAGCCATCTTTGCAGCAGTAGCCAGTGCCTAGAACAGAGTCCAGCAGGCAGGAGATGCACAGCAGCTGTTTATTGACTGAGGTCATCTGATCTCTTACTGGGTACCAACTGGTTAGTGATATCCTCTGCTCTCTACTTGGGTGCCAGCTATTTACTGACCAAGGTCTGTATGCCACCTGGGTGCCAGAGTTTTGCATAGCCCCACCTGTTGGGGCTGCTGAGGCTTCTGACCTATTTTCAAACTCTTGAGAACCCCCAGATCCCCAGATCTCTGGCCCATCAACAGTATGCATTTTATTATTGATTGATTGATTGCCAGTCCTGGGGCTTGAACTCTGGACCTGGGCTCTGTTCCTGAGCTTTTTTTTGCTCAAGACTAGACTCTACCACTTGAGCCATAGTACCACTTCCAGCTATTTCTGAGTAGTTACTGGAGGTAAGAGTATGATGGGCTTTCCTGCCTGGACTGAACCATGATCCTCAGATCTCAGCCTCCTGAATAGCTAGGTCTATAGACATGAGCTACTGGAGCCCAGCAATGTATTTTATTCTTGATGTTTTTCTTTTAATTTCCCTATTTGCTATTTAATATGATGTAGGTGCCCTGTCCCTCACTTTGAAGTTAGTCTCTTTCCTTCTGAAGAGATGCTGCTTCAATCTTCCCATTCTCTGCAAATCTCTTACCAAACTGTCTTGTCTCTCATTCCTCAAAGAGAAAGAAAGGCTGCGTGGCCTTTGAGAAGCATCTCACTTGCCATCCAGATCCTCAGTGTCCCTCCCTGTGCCAACTGTGATAGAAAGGAGCGGCCCCTGCCCTGGCCCACCCCATCACAACTGACTTCCCAGAGTTACCTCCTGGACATTTGGGTCCCTCCACATGGGCCCCATACTTCCTGAAGCTCTCTCCCGAGGGCCTACTTCCCATTCTCCTGTGTTTTCCTCTGCTTCTGGCTCTCTTAGTCTCTTCTCAGGGTTTTCTTACTCTGTTGTCCATAAGTGTATTTCTCAAGACCCTTCCCTTCTCCCTTGTACTGGGTCCCCTCTGCTTTCACACTTTAACTGCCCACATCACCTGATGACTTCCAAATAACTTTCAGGCTGGCATCTCTTCTTATCTCTAGAAACACCTATCCAGTTACCTACTGACACATACATATTTCTAAAAACTAAACTGCACTCCCCTAACCCTTTCTTTGTTATGGGTTCTCCCATTGGGTGTGAACAACCGCATTCAGGACCAGCCATGACCCTCTGTCCAGAGTCCCCCCTTGCTGCCTTGTGCCAGCCACCTCCAGCCAAGCTGAAACCCCCGGACCTAAGCACACGGCCACACAGTGTGCACATAGGCCTCTCTCTGCACATACTTTCCTTTTGCCTAGAAGTCTGTTTCCCAAAGCCCCCTGCCTTCCCTGTCTTCCCCCTCAGAATAACTCAACTAATTCCTGCTTAGCAGACATTCCTTTCAATATTGCCTTTGCAAGAAAAATAGCATTTCTCAAATAAAACCTTGACTTCTTCCAATTGTTTTATGTCTAGGTAAAGTTATAACAATACCAAAATAAAAGGTTTCTAAAGAAACACCTGGAAAAGTACATTTTCTCTATAAAATAGGTTTTTCCCTATAAATGTTCGTTCTTTCAGTCACTAGTTGAACCTTGTCTTTTTTTTTTTTTTGCCTTTTCCCATATATCAAATCAAATCAAATCAAAAGCCCAGGCCGAGGCCTCATGCACAATCCTGATCTCCAGGCTAATGTGCTGTGAGTAGGAAGCTGTAGGAAGCTTCCTACTGCTGCTGTCCATTCCTAAGAGCTCACAAAGTCAGGTCTTGGGGTCAAGAGCAATTGACAGCTGGTGGTGGTGGCGCACTCCTGTAAACCTAGCTACTCAGGAGGCTGAGGTCTGAGGATTACGGTTCAAAGCTAGCACAGAGAGGAATGTCCAGGACACTCTTAGCTCCAGTTACCCACTCCACTGGAAGTGGAGGCATGGCTCAAAGTGGTAGAGCACTAGCCTTGAGCAAAAGAGCTCAGGGACTGTTCCCAGGCCCTGAGTTCAAGCTCCACAAATGCCACCAAAAAAAGTGATTGTTGCTTTCTGGTGACTGTTTTTTCCTATAGTCCTGAGTTCACTGTTACTTTGTTTAAATCTTTTAACTAGTCAAGGTAGGAGCATGCTTTTTTTTCTTTTTCTTCTTTTTTTAGTACTGAGATTTGAACTCAGGGCCTCACACTTGCTCAGTAGACACTCTACCAAAGAACCTTGCCTCCAGCCCAAGAGGCTCTATCTCTAGAACAGTCTCTCTCCTAATCCAGTGATGCTATTCTTAGCAAGAACTAACCCTGTGGTTGGTTCAATCTCTGCCTCTTACTTTCTGTCATAAATACATTTTGCTTTCTGGCTCAGTTTAACAGACACTCAAACCTTCACAACACAATCTTACAGACAACATATATCAGTACTTTCTAGTTCGTTTCATTTTTTAGTATGCTCTTGTCATAACACAGTAATTTGATTTTATAATATTTGATGAATTGTGATCTGCAGTTTGAAAACCATGCTCTAGCTTGTTCTGATAAATCCTCTGAATTTCCCTGTCAGTATATATTATTTATTCAGCAAAAAAATTAATTTCAAGTAACTTTTATTTATTAAAAAGACTATGGGGTTTTTTTCCTTCTTAACATGAAAATCACATTCTAAACATCACAGTTTTTAAATCATTGCAGTAAGTTAATTAAAAATAACCAAGCCGTTGATTGGCTATGCTTTATAAAAGATAATGTAAAAATGTTTGTGTGTGTGTGTATGTATGTTCATGCATGTGTGCACTACTAATACCCTTTATTTCATGGCTCCAGAGAGCAAAATCTCAACAATTAATGGGAACTCTGGGGATAACTTGATCAAATGTGTACCCCAATCCAGATAACAGTATATTGGACCTGTTGTTCGACCTCTAAGATTAGCAATGCTGGGGCTGGGAAGGTGGCTCAGTGGTAGAGCGCTTGCCTTGCATGCTCGAGGCCCTGGGTTCGATTCCTCAGCACCACATAAGCAAAAAGAAAAAAGCCGGAAGTGGCACTGTGGCTCAAGTGGTAGAGCGCTCGCCTTGAGCTGAAGAGCTGAGGGACAGTGCCCAGGCCCAGAGTTCAGGCCCCATGACCGGACCCAAAAAAAAAAAAAAAAAAAGATTAGCAATGCTGATAGATCTTGGAACTGCTTTCTTTCCTACTGCTGAGGGCTGGGAACCTTTTCTTGCATTTCTATTAACCCTTTCCCATTGCAAGGTACCACCTCATCAGGTGACAATAATTACAACCACAAGAGCAGTGAACTCATTCTCAAATCTTTTAGATACTCCTACTTGTTGGCTAGCCCCCTATTCAAACAGGCTATTGAATTGTCAGTGTTCTCCGTAGAAGCTAGTTGACCACATTGGACTTGGCAGACATTTCAGAAGATGTGTCCGTGTTAGAATTTTCCCCACACCAGGCACTGTAATCCTAGCTGCTCAGGAGGCTGAGATGTGAGGATTGTGGTTTAAAGCCAGCCCTGGCAGGAAAGTCCATGAGACTCTTACCTCCAATTAACCACCAGAAAACTGAAGTGGTGGTACTGTGGCTTTAAGTGGTAGAGCCCTAACCTTGAGCAAAAGGAGCTTAGGGACAGTGCCCAGAGCCTGACTTCAAGCCCCACCACTGACTAAAAGGGGGGAAAAAAAGAAAGAAAGAATTTTCTCCATCCTTCAGATGAAAAACATGCAAGTCACAGATGACCCTGGCATTCAGGTTTTTTGTTTTGTTGTTTTACAAGACCTTAGCTGTAGGAGCAGTAGTTAGGTAGTATGGGCCCTCGAGTCTCTTTCCCAGGGATGAACTTTTCTAACTAAAGGACAGGCCCCTCACTGATCCTGGGACAGCTATCCCGTTCCTACACTAAGGTAATCAGGCTTCCTGTGGGTTGAAATGCTGCTTTCACGGGCTAGTGTGGGTCACAACCTTGGGGTCCTACTTTTTACCCCACTGCCACGAAGCTGCTCTGATCTTTCTAATGGAATCCTCGCTCTCCTCTTAGTTGAAGTGGTGTTTACCCCAGATTTCCTGGAAAAGGCCTCTTGAGAGTAAGAATATCTCTCCTCTTCACGATATATGAGTATCTTTGTTTTTCCTGGTCTTACCTTCCCATCTTCTTGAAATAGGAGACGCTGATCCATTTGACCAGCTGTTCTCACTTTCCTAAGCCATAGCTCAGTCTGGCTCTCTTATCCAGGACTCTAGGATTTTCCAGCTAATGTCCCTGATGGACTCCTGCTCTTAACTGGCCCCTCACTCCTTTGTACCAAGCTCCTTGGCCAACACTGTTCTTTCAGGGAAATTTAGTCAGGCAGCTGGGACCTTTCCTCTGCTCTACCTAAATGGGCCCTAGAGAGAATAACTTAAGGATTTTCTTGCAGAGGTTTTAGTCCACAGCTGATTCATCCCATGGATGCCTAGACATCCGGTGGCAGGAGCTTCTTTACCTCATGGGAGACAGGAAGCAGAGAGAAAGCAAGGGAAGAGAGAGAAGGAGAGGGCAGGGGAAACAAAAGGGAAAGGAGAAGAGAAGAAAGAAAGGGAGAGGTTAGAAGGAGAGAAGAGGGAGGCCAGAACAAGATATGCCCTTCAGAGAGACACCGCCAGTGACCCATTTCCTGCAACTAAGCCCCACTTCCCAAAATTTCCACTAGCTTCCAAAATAGCACTGTCAGCTGGAACCAAGCTTTCAGTACATGCATCCTGTACATGAGTTCTCAGCTTATGAGTTCAGGGTGGGGAGGGAGCATTTCATATTGAAGCCATAAGAGATTGCAAAGACAAAACTGTGAACTTTCAACAATCGATGCCTAATTGCTGAGGTTGGGAGGAGGGCATACACCCCTAAAGGCAGGGAGCCCAGATCCAGCAGCAGGTGGAAGGTCCTTCCCAGTGGGGGAGGGACTGCTGCCATGAGACTGTGGGATAGGAAGGCTGCAGCAGGGCTGGCATTGTGGGTGTTGCTATTTGTGTCTCAGGTCAGTTGTCAGATTGCCTATTCCTAGCTATTTTCCATTGGGAGGAAAGGCCAAATCTGAGAGCCCTCTCAGTTCCCAACACCAGCAGCCGCTGCCACTGGGAAGAATGTTTGTGTTTCCTTTCTGGTGTGATTTGGAAGTTGTCATCAAGATATGAAGGAAGCTTGTGACCTAGGCCTTTCCCTCCACGGGTTCAGTTTCCCTCTCTCTTAGACAGTGGGAAAGAACAGTAAATGGGGCCAATGTTTACCTTCTCCCTGCAAAGTGCTGGCCTCTGGCCTGCTGCTTCTGGATTATTTCTTGAAATGGTAGCAGTGGCCACCCAAGGGGCTTCTGTACTTGAGACTACACACCACGTGATGGTCTCGAATCATCATACGACTGCCAGGTAGTTACATATTCCTCTCTCCAGCTTCAAAGATGAAATCAAAGACTCAACATGAGATTAAAAATAGAAAATAAATATGAGATTAGATAAAACCTCAGAAGAATGTCCAGTTCTAGACATCCTGCTAATCTTACCTGGTCAGAAGGTGACCTGCCCTTTAGTCAAAAGAAAAGGAGTAGGGCCGAAGGCATAGCTCAAGTGGTAGAATACCTATGTACTAATCACAAATCCCTCAGTTCAAGCCCAATACTTTCAAAAAGAAGAGGTGAAGTCCCCAGAAAAGGAAGAGAAGGCCCACTTTTAGACGTGTGTGTGTGTGTGTGTGTGTGTGTGTGTGTGTGTGTGTGTGTGTGTGTGTTGGTCCTGGGGCTTGAACTCAGTGTCCAGGAGCTGTCCTTGAGATTTTTTTACTCAAAGCTAGTGCTCTACCACTTCCTGCTTTTTTCGTAGTTGATTGGAGATAAAAGTCTCACAGACTTTCCTGTCTCAGCTGACTTAGAACCACAATCCTTAGATCTCAGGCTCTTGGGTAGGATTACCCAAAGATTACAGGTGTGAGCCACTGATACGTGGCCTCACCTTTAATCCCTTGACTCGAAAAAGCGACCAGTACCACCACATGCCCACCCAGCCTCCTTGCTGGGATATTCTAAGTCTTTTACCGGCCTTCCCCACCCTTCTCTCCAACCTAATTCCTTTCCCCCATCCTGACTACCCCCTCATACAAACAGGACACACACACCCTTCCAGCACTGGTGCCGCTCCCTAATCTGGGTTGACTCAGTGATCTGCCTTAAAATGACCACTTCCCTGTACTCTGTCCAGTCATATCCTTTCCTATCAAGCTCACTTTCCCTCCCCTAAGATACCCCCAGCCCACAGCTACATGAGTCTCTCTAAATGTCTACACCACCTACTCACAGGATTCTTGGCCCTTGGCAAATAATGTTGCTGCCTTTCCCAATAACTACCCATAGTGGACTCCATTCTTGTACCATTGGGGGAAGGACCAGCTCTGTAGTCCCTTCATTTACCACACACACACACACACACACACACACACACACATACATACATAGTGCCATGACCCCATTCTAATTCCTTGGACCAGTCCCATTCATCTAGCCATCAGCATTCTCTCTGCTCAGGATCCAGCATTGGGATCAGAGCCAAGTTAAGCTTCAGTTAATGTTTGTTGAATGACTGGCTGGGTTTTTGTGGCCTCTAGGAGGTAAATGAAAGCCAGCCAATGCAATGGGAATAGTGATTATACTTAGAAGGGACACTTGTTAGTTCTGGGATAGGTCTCAGATCAGATTCCAGGTAGGTCATTTTCTCCCTTCCACACCCTCTCTTCTCCTTCTGGAAGCTCCAGCCAAAGGGCAGGGCTACAGTAGGAGTTCAGGGCTGTAAAATTCCTCTGTACTTTTCCAAGTTGCCTAAAGTCTATTTTCAACAGTAACAGAGGCACACTGATAGTTGCCAACAAAGAGGAAGTGTCAGTGTGACCCCTGAGTGACCTTCAAAGCCCTGTTCCCAGGTGTTGTCCCAACATAGAAAAGTGATGGTAGAGCTGGGTACTGGTGGCCCATATCTGCTCAGGGGGCTGAGGTCTGGGGATCGTGGTTCTAAACCAGCCCAGGCAATAAAGTGTGTGAGACTCTTATTTCCAATTATCCAGGAAAAAAGCCAGAAATGAAGCTGTGGCTCAGGTGGTAGAGTGCTAGGCTTGTGTGAAAATGCCAACAGATAGCACTGAGAGAAAATGCCCCAAGTACTAGCACACACACACACACACACAAAGATGAAAGAAAACATGGTAGCTGGACCGAGGGTGGAGGAGGGCTGTGGACCCCAGAGCAGGGTTCTCCTCTGGAAGCCTTGGCTTAGGTAAATGGTTAACTAAAGGGAGGATTTTTCTCAGTGCCTCCTCTGCCAGAGAAGTCACCTTTAGTTGTTGGCCCTTATGTGAGATGTGAGATCTGAGTCAAGTAGAGCTAAGTCATGGGTGGGTTACTGCCCACCTTGTTCTTCTGCCTCTGCCTGCTCAAAAGGTGGTGGGAGGCATGCAGACCAGCTGCTGGGAATGCTGGCTGGGAGGAGGGAAAGACACACCACACACACACACACACACACACACAGGAATGTTGGAAATAACCCTCTGACTATTTAGATTTTAAAAAAAAAAAAGAGAACAAGAAGGCCAAATCGTGCCATTCTGGTCACATGGAACAGGGGACATACGGTGGGAGTGTCCACGCCAGAAACAGCTGCTCAGCCTCTGTTTGGGGAGCTTTCTCTCCCACCCAATCCTCTTCCTCCCCAACCCCTGCTCCCAGGCACCTGCAAACCCCCTGCCTAATATTTGTTTAAGTCTGCTGGCAGAGTGGCTGCCCAGCCCTCTGCAGTTCCCCCTATGTGTGCCACGTTCAGTATAGCTCAGTAGCTTGCAGTGTCACCCCTCTGTATGCTTCAGTGACTTTGGGGGAGCTCACCATCCACTTGCTTCATTTGTTCAGGATGACTTTTTCCATTCTGTGCACCCCACCCCCTGCCCCCCGCCGTGCTCATGGGAGCTGGCACAGTCCCATGGTCTCCAGGCCTCGGCTGGCCAGTGCCGGCAGGCCTTCTCCACTTTGATGTGTGTGACTATGTGGTGCTGGCCTTAGGGTGGGTTGGGGGAGAGTGTGAGCCAAGCCTCCCGGGACCCTGCCTCCACTGAACACAGGCTGCTCCTTGGAAGGCTTGAAGCTTCTTTGGTGTCATATTTTATTCATATGAGCGCACGGCAGACGCATCCGAGCATGTCCCTGCAGTGGTTCCCTGGGCAGCCCAGCCTCATGGCCAAGTGGCTCTGAACTTCAGGCCATGGAACCTAAAGAGGCAGAAAAAAAACTTGAGGGGTAACCCAAAAGATCCCTCCCGTCCCATCTTCATGCCGCAGCGGGTAGGCTGGCGAGGAGGGGCTAGGGCAAGGAGGAGGGCTAGCTGGGCTGGCGAGAAATCTAGGAGCAGCCCTTGCAGAGCCCTCAGTGGTCAAACCCGATCTGGATATCCACTCAAGCTGATCTCAGTTCTTGCTGTGCTCTTAAAGGTCCATTGTGTGATCTTCTTTAAAGAAATATTTTATTTCCAATGCAGACACAACCCTTGACGTAGCAGTAACAAACATCACCCCTGAGAGACACATGGCTGTGAAGTGTTTTGGTATGTAACCTCCTGTCTTTGCCTTACACAGAAGGCTTCGTCTCACTCTTCTCTTTGTCCCTCAAGTGGGTGCCTCCTACCCCTGATGCTCAGGCTTCAGGAGGCCTGGAGTGAAGGCAAGAGGTCAGCTTGGACAGGAGGTCTCTTCTACAAGGGGCTGGTTTGGGGTGGGGGGGGCACTTTGCTATCTTGCACCCAACAAGAGTTTCTTTGAGAACACCACTCCCAGCCCCCCACTCTGAAGATGGAAGTCAAATTTTCGGATTCTGCTGTGCAGAGGAGAGAGGTCACTAGGCTCTAATGCATTTACCATTGACTGCCCCTCTTGTAGTGCGTCTATTAGTGAGTAATTTGATTTGTACCTATTCATTTGCAGTCCCTGCAGGAGCCTGGAGCTGGCCCCTAGTATAATTGGTGCTGTCTCTATTTTTACATCATTAGATTAGCCCCGACTCCTGGCCACTTGTTGTCTGCGCTTGTCTGTCCATTTATACAACCTAATGTAACACAAAATTCATTACTGATCACATTACTTTCAACTCTGAAGCCAGCCTTGTGATAAACATTTGGTTAACCCCTTCCTCCCCACGGGAGGGCTGGCAGAGCAAATGCACTTCTGCTCGACAGGCAAATCAATATCTTAATACACCAAAGTGGAATTGCATTTCTAGATTTGTTATTCCTCCTGGAGGAACAAATGGAAAGGCTCGTCAGAGCTGGCTGAATTGAATAATGAATAGGGCCCCGGCACCAGCAGCCAGTCTGTGAACACAAAGGCTGAGCTGCATCAGCCCAGCCTGCTTCCTGCAGACAGACAGGCAAATGGACAGGTAGGCTCACTGCAGTTCAGGAGACTATGGTTCTCTCCTGTTGTAGCACAAGAATGCCAACCAGAATGCAGGTTGAGATCCAAAGGGGGCCACAGAGACCTTGACCTAACACTGATGCCTTGTGCCAGGCTTGATGTAGGACAGTAGACTAAGAATTGGGTTTATTTCCTTAAGATCTAATTCACTGTAAAGACCACCAGATATGTGGGCCTCATGCTAAATACTAAAAGATTAGTTCCTTTACTAAATTCAAGTTTACAAAACACTATACCTAGTGTGAACTAGGTCAGTGCTATTGGAATGATTGATTCACACCAGCCTGTGTGGATATGTGCCTGCCTCCCACGCCAATATTCTTTGCCACCCAGATGCCACATGTGCCTGTGCATCTTGCTAGCTCTCCCTTACAAGCAGTAAGCGTGATTCTTACACAGGAGTCTTCAGGGGATTGCAGCATGCTCTACCCCTGTCCTGGTCAAGCCTCTTCCCAGCCCCCAGCTGTCTCTGGGTAGCATCCACACCCACTATAAGTCACTAACTCACAAGGAAGTGTGTTCCAAAAAGAAACATCCCACCACTTATTAAGAAAATCTCCTAAGAGCCTATGAGAAATATAGGCATGGAGGAAACAGAATGGAACCCATTAGCATGAAAGTCATATAAACTGCTATGTGAAAAACTATACGCTGAAGATGCTCGGTGGGCAGGGAAACTGGGAAGGCAGCTGCCTCAGGAATGTTCTGCCTGAAGTGGAGAAGCCCTGAACAGGAGGCCATGGAGGAGAGGCCCTAGAGCCTGAGATCATGTGTCCTTCCTACTGAGCGGGACATGCCCCTTCTCACAAAGGACTGAACCTCGGACCCCACTGACCCTATTCTTCTGAGTCCTTGTAACCACAAATGACCAGCAATCCTGAGATGCAATCCCAGGATTCTTTGGGCTCAGATGCCATTCTTGCCTTTGCTGTTCGATGATATCCCCTTCCTGCATG